CTCTTTTAATTCCATTCAACCCCATAAATTTAGTTCAATTTGCCAAATTAATTATTGATCATTTCACTGAACCAGACTGTGATACAAGAAGTGGGAAAGCAAACAAGAAAAATCTGGCCCTTGTCTTCAAAACTTGCAGTTGCGTAGAGAGACAGACCTATGGCTATAGGGTACAGCAACCAAAATAGCTACAAGGTTCATAGGTGCTGTGGATTAGAGAGGTTTTATTTTAACTGGCGAAAGATCAGTAGAGCTGGGCCCTTCCATAAGAGTAGGAATTTGCTAGGTTATCAAGAGGGAAGAAGGTTAGCATTCTTGGTTTCACGGAATATGAAAAATATAAAGACATAACAATACCATCTTGTATTTACTGAGTGCTTGCATGCTAGTTCACTTGTTTCACACATTTGTCACACACACAGGAAATGATTCTGTGAGATTATTCCCATTGTACAGATGAGGTAAGTGAGGCACAGTGATGGTAAGTATGCCTTGGATTGTATAGCTAGTAAATGGGGAGGTGGATCCAGGGATCAAGTTCAAGCCCGGACAATTCTGAGCCCACACATTTAACCACTCTATATCCTCCGTGGTACACTCAGAAAACTACAATAATTCAACAGACTAGAATATGGGGCGTAGAAGTAATAACAGGTGAGGTTGGTCTGATAGTCAAAGCCAGGTAATGGAGGAAACTGTCGGTCACCCTAAAGAGTACAGATTCCATAAGGGTAATTGAGAATAATAAGGGATTAAAGCTGAAAAATAACATATTCAGATTTGCAGTTTGGAAAAATCTTTTGTTGACAGGCAGTGGTGGTTGAGGAAGGCAAGACTTCGTGAGGAAAGGAGTGGCCCTGATAATGTCTGGACTAAAGCAGAAGCAGTGGGGATGATGAGGAGGGAACGAAGGAAGGAGATGTTAAATAGATAAAATCAGTAGGACTTTACAGAAGTAGGAGAGGTGAGAAGATGACGTCTAGATTTCTGCCTGGCTAGTTTTGTGAGTGGTGGATTACATTTTA